TTAGCCAGGATGGTCTTGATCTCCTGATCTCGTGATCCGCCCGTCTCGGCCTCCCAAAGTGCTGGGATTACAGGCTTGAGCCACCGCGCCCGGCCTGATGGCCAAAATTATTGCTCATATATTCCATGTAGGTGTCTTGCTCTGTAGCCAAGATGTGAGTAGCAGCCAATCTTCCATAAGCTACTGAATTATCTCCTTGGTAAATTCTAATCATAGGCTAATTTTTGTTTCCAAATACTAAATTTTTTTTTTGAGGCGGAGTCTTGCTCTGTCGCCCAGGCTGGAGTGCAGTGGTGTGATCTCGGCTCACTGCATGCTCTGCCTCCCAGGTTCAAGTGATTCTCCCGCCTCAGCCTCCTGAGTAGCTGGAATTACAGGTGTCCGCCACCATGCCCGGCTAATTTTTGTATTTTTAGTAGAGACAGGGTTTCACCATGTTGGCCAGGCTGGTCAACACAGGAGGAGGATGGAGATAAAGGCCGAGTTTGGGAACAGGCCAGAGTCTGCAGCCCTTCCTGCTGGAGAGAGGGTCTGAAGCTCAGGTCCGGTTAGAGGTCAGCAGGTGTCTCAAGAAGCCCATGGAGGGATGAGGTGGACCAGGACAGCACGTGTAGTACAGAAAAGAGGGGCAGGTGGCTGGCCACGGTGGCTCATGCCTGTTATCCCAACACTTTGGGAGGCCAGGGCAGATGGATCACCTGAGGTCAGTGCGAGAACAGCCTGGCCAACATGGTGAGACCCTCTCTACTGAAAATACAAAAATTAGGCCGGGCGCAGTGGCTCACGACTGTAATCCCAGCACTTTGGGAGGCCAAAGTGGGCGGATCTCGAGGTCAGGAGATCGAGACCATCCTGGTGAACACTGTGAAACCCCATCTCTACTAAAAATACAAAATAATTAGCCAGGCGTGGTGGTGATCGCCTGTAGTCCCAGCTACTCGGGAGGCTGAGGCAGGAGAATAGCGTGAACCCGGGGGGCGGAGCTTACAGTGAGCGAAGATCTTGTCACTGCACTCCAGCCTGGACAACATCGAGACTTTGTCTCAAAAAAAAGCCAGGTGTGGTGACTCACGCCTGTAGTCCTAGCTACTTGGAAGGCTGGGGCACAAGAATCGCTTGAACCTAGGTGGCGGAGGTTGCAGTGAGCCGAGATAGCCCCACTGCACTCCAGCCTGGGCGACAGAGCGAGACTCTGTCTCAAAAAAAAAAGAAAAAGAAAAAAAAGAAAAGAGGGCCAGGAACTGGTCCTCCGGGGTTGGAGGCGGGAACAGGTGGGAAGGGCAGAACACACCATGGGACAGCCTGACGTGGGGCTCACTGGATGCGCCCCTCCACACGCAACAGCAGGTAGTCCCTGAGGAGCGGGGGCAGTGGCAGCCGGGTGGCATCCTGCCGGCAGCGGCTTCCCAACCGAGCGCGCACAGCTAGTCGGGCCAGGTGCTGCAGCCGCCTTGGCTGGTTCACCATGCACAGGGCCGAGCTGTAGAAGGCTTCGTGCTCCTAGGCCAGGAGTAAAAGAGGGTCAGATGACCCTTGCCCTACCATCTGGGGGCAACCCCGTGGTGAGGGTCCTGGAATTTTGCAGCATGCACCCACCTGGGTGTTTCGTGTGTCTCAAAGGACTCAGATTCAGAACCATAGAGGCCCTTCAGTGATAATGGGGGCTGGGGCTCCACTTCAGGGAAGGGTCTTCACTATGTTTGCACGCACTCCCACCCCAGAGAGGCTAGCACAGTGCCCACCAAGTTAGAGATGCCAGATAAATGTCTGTGCTGATGCAAGTGAGGGAGGCAGGAGAGGTGTGTGGAGTTAGGGGGTCAGCCTGAGGTACCAGGAGGAGGGGGAACCCTGAAACTCAGGGGTGCCACTCTACCCATCCTCTCTACCCAGGGACCCTCCTGCTGCTCCCTCCATGACGCTGATCCTGAAGGAATAGACCTGTGGCTCATCCCTCCTCCCCATCTCGGCCCTGAGGCAGACATACCTTCCACAGTTCTGGGAGCACCGCCTCCACCCAGGTCTCACAGGATGGGACACAAGGATAGGCATTAAGCAAGACTTCCAGGGCCCGAGGGAAGTTGGCACAGTGTTTCAGCATCTAGGGGTTAAAAGAGGGTATTGGGCACATGCCTCCCCCAGCCGAGGGCAGACCCAAGTCTCACCTAACGCACATGGCCAATCCTAGCCTAATCTAGGGGGCTAAGATCTGAGTCTCTCTTCCCATTTCTGTGCCTCTGTCTACTCCACCCTCAAGTGCTCAAACCTTTTGGCCCCAGTTTTCCTCTGGGGCTCTTCCCTCCTTTCGACTCTCTCCCGGAATCCTCTCTCCCCCTCCCAAGCTGGGGACAGCCCCCTGGCCACTGAGGGCGGGCTTTCAGTCTCTTGGACCCTCTCTCTTCCCCAGAGGCTGAGTAGTTCCAGCCGTGGGCTCCCCTACACAGGAGCTTCCTATCTCGGTCTCCCAGCGCACCTCACCTCAGGGCGCACAGGCTGGGCCCCGTAGTCCAGCAGTGCGGCGAAGAGGACCTCGGGCTCCCAGTTGGGGGCGTCCTGGACGGCCTGCAGCGCACAGTCCATGGGCGTGTGGCCCGCCCCATTGGGGACCTCAGCCCGGGCCCCGTGGCGCAGCAGCAGCTCGGCCAGGCCCCCGCAGCCGTTGGCACAGGCGTTGTGCAGCGGCGTGTGGCGCTTGCGCCCGGCCACCCGGGCATCAGCTCCAGCTTCCAGGAGCCGGCGCGCCGCAACCTGGTGCCGCCTGCAGCTGCCTGGGCCCTCGGCCCCAGCGCACGCCGCGTTCAGTGCGGTCTCGCCCTGGCTGGTGCGCAGGCCCACGTCGGCGCCATGCTCCAGGTACAGAGCCACATGCTGCTCCAGGCCACGCGCCGCCGCCACATGCAGGGGCGTCTCCTGGCTCTCGCCTGCCGCCAGGTTCACCGTCGCTCCCGCTTCCAGCAGCAACTTGGCGCACCTGGGGACAAGAGAGCAAGGTCCCGGGGAAAATCCTGAAGGCCTGGGACCCCTCCTTCAGCTTGCTGTCACCCTCCCTTCTCTTTCCACCCCTCTCACCTTGAGGTCCTACCTGGTGTCCTCCATGAATCACACAAGCCCCGCTATAGACAACAGAACTGGAAGGTGCTGAGAGCTACCAGAAGCATCTTCAGTTTTCATATGAAAACTTAAGCCCAGAAGTGATTTGTGCAGCCGAGGACACAGCAAGTTAGTGGCTGCACCAGATATAGTGCTCACTGCCTCAGACAGTCCCTCCCAGAGTCTACTCTGTCTCAGTTGTCAGTTGTCTCCTAACTTTTTTTTTTTTTTTTTTTTGGAGACAGGGTCCCTCTCTGTCGCCCAGGATGAAGTGCAGTGGTGCAATTACATATAGCTCATGTAGCCTGGACGTCCCAAGCTCAAGCAGTCCTCCTGCCTCTGCCTCCCAAGTAGCTGGGACCACAGGTGGGCACCATCACACCTGGCTAATTTTTAAAATTATTTTTTGTAGAGACAAGGTCTCACCATTTGCTCCAGCTGGTCTCAAACTCCTGGGCTCAAGCAATCCTCCTGCCTTGGCCTCTCAAACTGCTGGGATTACAGATGTGAGCCACCACACCAGGCCTTATCTCCTAACATTTTGATAGCACAGAATTTGGAAAACCCACTTCTGTGTACGTTATGAAACACAGAAAATTAGAAAGTATGCACCAAAACAAAAATACAAGTTATAATATTTTATTTCTGCCCTCACACTTAAAAGACCACTCTTCTAAACCAGGCCACAATCATTCAAGCAAAGGCAGGCACTTGGGGCCACCCTCCTCCACTTTCCCCTAGAGAAAACAAAACCAAAGGAAAAACAGCAACAAAAACAGGTTTTAGAGAGCACATGTTTCCCAGTTCCAGGGAAAATTATAGACCAGAACACTGTGGCAGCAAACATGCATCCTTACCTACTGCAGGGTAAACCAAACATGCAACAAACTAAATTAATAATGATGAAACCAAACTAACAGTAACTTATAACTAAAAAGCCAGAACGGCAGCTTCTGGAAACTCAGGAGCAGATCCACCATCCTCAGTGAAACCCTGATAACCAAATACCCTTTCCCAAAATGGCCAAAATTCTTTTTTTTTTTTTTTTTTTTTTGAGATGGAGTCTCCCTCCGTAGCTGGGACTACAGGCGCCGCCACCACGCCCGGCTAGTTTTTGTGTTTTTTAGTAGAGACGGGGTTTCACCGTGTTAGCCAGGATGGTCTTGATCTCCTGATCTCGTGATCCGCCCGTCTCGGCCTCCCAAAGTGCTGGGATTACAGGCTTGAGCCACCGCGCCCGGCCTGATGGCCAAAATTATTGCTCATATATTCCATGTAGGTGTCTTGCTCTGTAGCCAAGATGTGAGTAGCAGCCAATCTTCCATAAGCTACTGAATTATCTCCTTGGTAAATTCTAATCATAGGCTAATTTTTGTTTCCAAATACTAAATTTTTTTTTTGAGGCGGAGTCTTGCTCTGTCGCCCAGGCTGGAGTGCAGTGGTGTGATCTCGGCTCACTGCATGCTCTGCCTCCCAGGTTCAAGTGATTCTCCCGCCTCAGCCTCCTGAGTAGCTGGAATTACAGGTGTCCGCCACCATGCCCGGCTAATTTTTGTATTTTTA